ATGAACATGTCATGAAAGAAATGTGAGAATTGCGCTTTGGTCCTATCTGTGTTAGTAGGAAAGAGAAATGTGCTGCTATGTACACTGAAATTGCACATGAAGTGCAATTTCACATCAGTTGCACTCAGGATGGGAAACTGAAACTCCTCATTTGCAGCCTGTGGGATGGGATTGTCATCCGTACTAGGCTCCTTCATCAATGGCTCTTGATCAATCTGGCCCTGAGATTGATTATGGGTTGGAATCAACTTTTTAAAACTTGAGTCTTTGTTTTTATCACAATTTGAACAACACATATGCAAATATGCCATGTAGCAAGTGTGCTTTGTACCAGTTAAGCATGTAATGGAAGCCGAGTGTTACTCCTTTTTTTTTTTTTTTTTTGAGACGTAGGCTTGCTCTGTCACCTAGGCTGTAGTGCACTGGCATGATCTCAGCTCACTGCAACCTCCACCTCCTGGGTTCAAGCGATTCTTCTGCCTCAGTCTCCTGAGTAGCTGGGATTACAGATGTGCATCACCATGCTCAGCTAATTTTTGTATTTTTAGTAGAGATGGGGTTTCACCATTTTCACCGTCTTGAACTCCTGACCTCAGGTGATTCACCCGCCTCGACATCCCAAAGTGCTGGGATTATAGGCGTGAGCCACCACACATAGCTAGTGTTAGATCTTTTTTTTTTTTTTGAGACGGAGTTTCACTCTTGTTACCCAGGCTGGAGTGCAATGGTGCGATCTCGGCTCACCGCAACCTCAGCCTCCTGGGTTCAGGCAATTCTCCTGCCTCAGCCTCCTGAGTAGCTGTAGTGTTAGATCTTACGTGCAGTTTCCTTTTTCCTTAGGTTTTAGCAGCTCTTAGGAACTGCTATGCACATTTTAAAGGGTGCCTCTTCCTTAAGGAAACTGAGTGTGTTATGAACAACATGGGCTTCTGTTGGAGGGCTTTCTGGATCCCAGCGGGCAGCAGCATGGTTGCCTTGCGTGCTTGAGTTTTACATTCCCATGCATCCTGAAGCCAAGTACACCTTCCCCTCATGCACTTGACATTGCACTCCCTGCTGCTGTCCTGACTCAGGCAGGGGTGGAACTGGCTATAGGTTGTGGGCAGGGAGGGGAAGTGAGCTCAGGGATCCCCAGAGCATGGCCAAGACAAAGCGCTGGGGTGTGTGTGTATGTGTGTATGTGCGGCGTGGGTTTATGAGAGGGGTTTACTGGGAGGGGGCTTCCTGCTGCCCCAGGACTTGGATGAGAGTCCTGGATTTCCCCCCCTGCCCCCTCCCCCACCAACTCTCACATAGGTTAGCTCTGTTTGGATGGGTACAGCACCTTTGTGCCATGCACATGATGTGCCTGGAACCTGGCCTGGCATCACTCACCTCCAGCTGCATCTCCCAGGCAGGGTCTCCACCTCCTGCTCATCCTAGGGATGCGGCCCGGAACTGTTAGAGGCTGTATTAGTGTTTGGTTAGGTCTTTAAATGTGAGGGGAAGAGCGTGGATGAAATCATTTATGCTGAGGATCTGTAGTTTTTATAAGCCAAGGTTAAGGTCTAGTTGAGAAGAGGGCTCAAAAAAATGCCTGGCTACAGTTTGCTCAAGGAGAGAGAGAGAGGAGAGAGAGAGAGAGAGAGAGAGAGGGAGGAGAGAGAGAGGAGGAGGGGAAGCAAGGGCAGCACCACGTTCATGGGACCTTAAATGTAGACAATTAAGGAGAGATTGTCTTTAAAAAATGCAAAATTGAATACAGTATTAGACTGAGGGCCTCGGAGGGGCTCATTCAAGTAAGGGGGCCTGAAGTTTAACCTTCCGTAGGTTCACAGCAGATCTGCTTCTAGGGAAGGGTACACAGGGTCCAGGCCATACGAACAGCAAAAATGAAGGCCAGGAGGATAGAGTGTTTAGAGAATGGAAATCTTTTCCAACCCAGTTTGCATGAATGATATGCAAGAGGTAAAGCTAGAAATATGTCTGGAGATCCAATTACAGAGCTCCTTTGGCTCAACCTGAGTAAAAATCCTATTCCGTCAGCTGTGCAGAGCCACAGAAGGATTTTGAAGGGGGGTTATTTGACCGCTTATTTATGTATTAGATCACTCTCCAAGAAGTGAGGGGGAGGGGCTGGAGCCAGGTAAGGCTGGAAGCAGATGCCAGGCTGAGGGTGTTTATGGGCACTCCTACCACATGGCGAGGAAGATCCCCCATAGATACCTGACTTCAAAACAGATGCCGGGGTTCAGACAGAGCAGTTTCTTCATCAAAAGCATCTAGACTAATATTTCCCCAAGTTTAAAAACATGCTTCTGTGTATTTTTGTGAAATGAGGCCTCCCATAGACTGAATACTTATGTCCCCCTAAAATTCATGTTAAATCCTAGTGCCCAAGGTGATGGTATTTGGAGGTGGGGCTTTTAGGAGGTGATCAGGTCATGAGGGTAGAGCCCTCACAACTGGGATTAGTGCCCTTATAGAAGGGGCTCCAGAGAACTCCTTTGCCCTCTTTCCACCATGTGAGGATGCAATGAGAAGCCCGCTGTCCATGAACCAAGAAGTGGACCCTCCTCAGAAACCAACCAGGCTGGCACCCTGATTTCAGACTTCCAGCCTCCAGAACCATGAGAAACAGATGTCTGTGGTTTAGAAGCCACCCAGTCTATGACCATTTGTTATAGCAGTCCAAACTGACTAAGATGAAGCCTAAGCTGTCCCGAGACTTGCTTTTGATTAATGCTTTTCTGTTTCGCTTCATTTGTTTTAGAGACAATGTCTTGCTGTGTTGCCCAGGCTGGAGTGCAGTGGCTATTCACAGGCACGTTCACTGGGCACTGCACCCTTGAAGCAATTAATCGCTGGCCCCAAGCCATCCTCCCTCCTCAGTTTCCACAGTAGCTGAGACCACAGATGTGTATCACTGGGTCTAGCTGATTAACCTTGCATGCTGAAACATTTAATTGTTAATAAAAAATTGCATATTTGTTTTGTTTGCCTTAGGTGTCATGCATATAAAAGAGAATCGATTTTTAAATGATTTTTATTTTATTTAATTAATTAATTTTTTTGAGACACAGTCTTGCTCTCTTGCCCGGGCTGGAGTGCATGCAGTGTCCTGATCTTGGCTCATGCAACCTCTGCCTCCCAGGTTCAAGCGATTCTCCTGTCTCAGCTTCCCAGGTAGATGGGATTACAGGCACCTACCACCACATCTGGCTACATTTTTGTATTTTTGGTAGAGATGGGATTTCACCGTGTTGGCCAGGCTGGTCTCAAACTCCTGACCTCAGGTGATCCACCTGCCTCAGCCTCCCAAAGTGCTGGGATTACAGGCGTGAGCCACCGCACCTAGCCACTAAATGGTGATTTTTAAAGACAGATAATTATGCCACACCCTAATATTTAATACTTTATTTCTACATATGACATTTTGATAGATATGCCCCGTATCATGTGGACTCTGTGTACATAAACTGTAGCTGTGTTGAGGACAGCGTCCACTGCCAAAGGCAAAGTTTTAAAATGAAAAGTTCATCTACCGTTAGGCAAGTCTCGTTGCTTTAAGTTAGAAAGTTTTATTAGAACCCTGGAGGTTGATGCTGCTTTTCCTCTCAAATTTTCTTCATTTTTTTTTCTTTTTCTTTTTGAGACAAGATCTCACTCTCACCCAGGCAGGTGTGCAGTGGCAAGATCATAGCTCACTGCAGGCTCAACCTCCTGGGTTCAAATGATCCTCCCACCTCAGCCTCCCAAGTAGCTGGGACTACAGGCATGTGCCATCAGGCTCAGATAATTTTCTTTTTTGTATTTTCTGTAGAGATGGGGTTTCGCCATGTTCCCAGGCTGGTCTCAAATTCCTGAGCTCAAGCAATCCTCCCATCTTGGCCTCCCAAAGTGCTGGAATTACAGGCAATGAGCCACCACATCCAGCCCAGATGATCTTTTTTAACTTATTGACAGATAAAGATCTGGTCCGCTATAATCAAGACATTTCCTGTTGAGGCTAAATCTGAGAGGTAGCATCTTGGAAGTAGAAGCATCAGACTCTATAACCATTTTTCTTTACAGTCTCAAGGAAAAGAGTGGGTGTATTGGTTCATTCTACCCTTCCTCCTGTGCAGATGAAAGAAAAGCAATTGACAAAATGCCTACATTTTAATGTGAGATGGCAGAGACTCCATATACTTCACTTCAAGGTAGTCTAAGAATCTACAGGGTTCCCCAGACTGGCGAGCATCTCAGACACCAACTGGTGCCCTGACCCTTCACTTAATAAAGCAGGAAAAAAAAAAACCTACCACAAGGTTTAATGTATGTCACAAGAGCCAAGCGGCTTTGGGTTGGAAGAACTGTGGGCCCCATGCTCACCCCGATCCCATGAAGTGACTGAAATGGTCCCATGAACTTTTGCAGCTCAGCTTGAAACTGCTCATTTGGTACAAATCTTCTATTTTTCACTTATAAAATTGGTGCCTAGTGAGATAAAGTGACTTATTTTTGTTCGCATTGACCAGAAATAAATCTTAATTTCCCTTTTCAAAAAGATAACTCTCACCACTATGCCACACACTGTTATATTTTTTAAATGTTTGCAAGTGTTAAAGCATGCTCCTTAAGGAATCTTTTCATCTCTTGGGAAATAAACCATCACATATTGTGGAAATTCTTCCTTTGAATTTCTAAAAACATGGAACATATACTCATATGGTATATCCACAAAATGCACCAGGTATTATGCAGACACTTTTGTTTCTCAGACAGGGTCTCACTGTGTCGCCCAGGCTGGAGTGCAGTGGAACAAACATGGCTCACTGCACCCTTGAACTCCCTAGCTCAAGTGATCCTCCTACCTCAGCCTCCTGAGTAGCTGGGACTCTTGGTGTACACCAGCACGCCTGGCTAATGTTTTTATTTTTTTGTAGAGACAGGGTCTCACTATGTTGCCCAGGCTCAGACACCTCTATATACATCATCATTTAACACTTTGGAACAAGAAATTCATCCCATTGTACTGATTCAACATCCGAGATTCAGAAATTATCTGTTTTTTTTTTTTTTGGAAGACTACAAGATGAACCAGGCAATCTCTTCAGTTCCTGTTGTCAGGGAAATTTACTTAGATATTCTGAAAGAGCAATTGAGCAGTTCTGAGTCATTTGCCTCTTAGAGAGATTGTTTCTGTTTCAGAGGCCTTTCATTTTTCTTTTTTGTATTTTGACTATTTAGAGTTTATCGGATCTAAATACATGTTTTCTCACAGAGGGCAGAAATTGCTTCATAATGAGTCATTTTAACCTTTTTTTCTTCTGAGAAAGCTGCCTTCCTCTCCTCTGCAAGAGTTCACGGTGATGTGCAATGTCCACTCTCCATGCTAAGTGACAATGACTGTAATTTGCTGAGAGAGCAGTGACCAAACCACTGGCTCCTTCAGAGGCTGGTTATTTCAACCATCTGGAGAAAAATGGAGGCTCCTAATGCAGAAGGGGATCTTAAGTCATCTAGAGCAAAGACTCTTTTGTTCATTCATTCCTTCTCCCATGCACTCGTTGGACAAACCTGAATAGTGTACTATGCCCCAGAGGTGTGAAGAAGCATAAACTATAGAGAGACCCATTCACATGTCAGGCAGAGCAGAAGTGCTGTAAGAGCACCAGCTCCAGGCCACCCAAGGATGACCAGGAAGGCTCCAGGCAGATCAAGCTTTCGAGCTGGGCTTGGAGGAATGTCCTTGATTCTCGAGGTGGCATTGGGAGGCAGCCATCCTAGCAAGGAAGTGACAGCAGAGAAGCTGAAGACACCAGAATGAGGAGTGGGCCAATCAGAGTCCTTATTCCCAGATGTGCTGGGAGACAGCTGGAGTCCTACAAAGACCTGAATGCTGGGCCGAGGAGTTTTAGTCCTTAGGAGCTACTGACTGTTGTCAGCAGACGGTGACAGTGCCTATCCTGGTAGCTGCCTATGGGGAATGGTGAGCTGGGGAGGAAGAACCTCAAGGCCATGAGGACAGAATGCAATACCCCTGATGTGGTCTAGGGAAAGGCGGTGAAGGCCAGAACTAGGGCGCTGGCGGGGAGGATGCGTGGGTAGGAGAGCCATGGAAGGCAGGAGGAAGCCAGAAGGAAAGCTGGAGAAGGACCTGAGGTGGGGGTGAAGATGGTGGGAGTGTCAAGGGGATTCTCACATTTTTATTTTTAACTTTTAAAATTTTTTAATAGAGACAAAGTCTCACCATCTTGCCCAGTCTGGTTGCAAATTCCTGGGCCAAAGTGATCTTCCTGTCTCAGTCTCCCAAAGTGCTGGGATTACAGGAATAAGCCACCATGCCTGACCGATCCTCACATTTTTTTAGATAGAGTCTTGCTCTGTCACCAGGCTGGAGCGCAATGGCACGATCTTGGCTCACCACAACCTCCGCCTCCTGGGTTCAAGCAATTCTCCTGCCTCACCCTCCTGAGTAGCTGGGATTACAGTCACGCACCACCATGCCCAGCTAATTTTTTTGTATTTTTAGTAGAGATGGGGTTTCACCTTGTTGACCAGGATGGTCTCGATCTCGACCTCGTGATCCATCCGCCTTGGCCTCCCAAAGTGCTGGGATTATAGGCGTGAGCCACTGTGTCCGGCCTTATTTATTTATTTTTTGATACAGAGTCTCTCTCTGTCACCAGGCTAGAGTGCAATGGCGTGATCTCGGCTCACTGCAACTTCCGCCTCCCAGGTCAAGCGATTCTCCCACCTCAGCCTCCCAAGTAGCTAGGATTCCCGGCATGCACCACCATGCCTGACTAATTTTTGTATTATTAGTAGAGATGGGATTTCACCATGTTGGCCAAATTGGTCTCAAACTCCTGACCTTGAGTGATCCACCTGCCTCGGCCTCCCAAAGTGCTGGGATTATAGGCGTGAGCCACCGTATCTGACCAGTTCTCACGTTCTGAAATGACAGTTAAGCCCTGGACTCAAGCCAGGGACAGAAGCCGATGACCTGGTTTTGGTGAGAAGGTTATGTGTGTGTTTCTGAACATGTTGACGATGAGACTAAGTCTTATGTTTCTTGTGCACCTCCCTTGGTGCCTAGAAGAAAGGCTAAAACACAGTAATTTCCAGAGGGACGATCTTAAGAAGGAGCCATCTGGGCACAGAAGCCCCAGAGGCCCTTGGGAGCAAGGTGCGAGGGCAGCATCGGCTTGCCCTACGTGGTTCTCCTACTCTTTCTTCTTTCCCTTGTAAAAGTAACTGAAGCTTAAAGGTGAAAATGACTTTTAAATAGTAGAAACGATGTTAGCCCTACTCCCCTCCCCCATTAGCCCAAGATTGGTGGCGATCACCGTTTTGTGCACCGAGCCTGCGTTTCACGCTTCCAAGTCCTTGGGCTCATCCGGAGTCAGCTTCATCAGTTTGTCCACACAGAGCAGGATGAGAGTGAGGAACCAGAGGCTCCAGCCAACCGCCGCCGCGATCCAGCCGTACTCGTCCACCCCTGCGTGGCAGCACTGGGCTGCCTGTGGGCAGAAGTCCACGTCTGGTGGGGAAGGGAGAGTAAGGATGACTGCAGGCACCGCCAGCCCCGCCCAGGCTTCTCTATTGGGAATATTCACAGAGCAATTGACACGGTAGCAGACACTGCTGAGGGCCTCCTACCTGCCGTGCACTGTGCTGAGTGCTTTTACGCGTTAGCTCATACCTTCCTCACAAAGCGACAGGTGCGATTTTTATTCTCGTTTCATATGAAGAAACTAAGGCTGTAACTTGGCTGAAGTCACAAGATGGCAGAAGGAGAACTCAAACCCAAGTCTGCAAGACTCCAAAGCCATTGTCTTAACCTTTATGTGTTATTCCCTATCACCCTTCCTTTTTTGTCTTTTTCTTTTTGAGACAGAGTCTCACTCTGTCACCCAGGCTGGAGTACAATGGCATGATCTCAGTTCACTGCAACCTCCACCTCCTTGGTTCAAGCGATTCTCCTGCCTCCCGAGTAGCTGAGATTACAGGCAGCAGCCCCCCACGCCTGGCTAATTTTTTGTATTTTTAGTAGAGACGGGGTTTCACCGTGTTGGCCAGGCTGGTCTTGAACTCCTGACCTCAAGTGATCCACCCACCTCGGCCTCCCAAAGTGCTGGGATTACAGGCGTCAGCCACCATGCCCAGCCTATCCTTTTAAGTGCCCAGAAGTTAATGCATTCCTTCATCCAATGAAAGCAGGATAAAGGGAACCGGACAAAAAAAAAGCAAAACTTTTTTTTTTTTTTGAGACGGAGTTTCTCTTTGGGTTCAAGCAATTCTCCTGCCTCAGCCTCCCGAGTAGCTGGGACTGTATACAGGTGTGTGCCACCATGCCCAGCTGATTTTTGTATTTTTAGTAGAGACGGGGTTTCACCATGTTGGCCAGGATGGTCTCAATCTCGACCTCAACCTCATGATCCACCCTTCTCGGCCTCCCAAAGTGCTGGAATTATAGGCGTGAGCCACTGCGCCTGGCCTTTTTTTTTTTTTGAGATGGAGTCTCACTCTGTCACCCAGGCTGGAGTGCAGTGGTGTGAACTCGGCTCACCACAACCTCCACCTCCCAGGTTCAAGCAATTCTCCTGTCTCAGCCTCCCTAGTAGCTGGTGCTACCAGGAGACAGGCACACGCCACCACACCCAGATAATTTTATTTTTTGGTATTTTTAGTAGAGATGGGGTTTCACCAAATTGGGCAGGCTGGTCTCAAACTCTTGACCCTAGATGATCCACCTGCTTTGGCTTCCCAAAGTGCTGGGATTACAGGCGTGAACTGCCGTGCCCAGCAGCAAAACTTTCTATTAGCTAGACATGCATAATAGTGGTTGGTCTATGAATTACTGCACTCCCTGTGGCTAGAAGTACATGAAGAGGAAGAACATGCACAAAAGAAGAAGAAATATGTACGCCAAGGGTACCAAAACCAAGCCCTTGCATTGGGTAGAAGTTGGACTCGATGATTTTTTTTATGGCCTTTCCACCTCCAAATTTCTTCAAGCATTTGAACCTAGGTCGTTGTTAGCTGCTGACCTGGGATGGGTCATTAAAGCCATCTGTGCCAAAGATCATGCACCCAGATGGGGATCAGAGCCAAGAAAGCATTTTAGACCTGTTCTGCAAATAGTTCTGGGACAAACCACACTGGTGCACAGGAAGGCCAGGAAGGCCCTTGGCCACTTGGCATCAATCAACGGAAAGTGGGGAGGTCTTTGTTTCCCTCCCAGGCCGAGGGCCAGTTCTAGGGTTAGAGTGGTCAGTAGGAGAAGCTTACTGAGGCACTGTTCCAGAGTCCCCGGGTCTGGGCGGTGGGCAGTCGAAGCTGAGCTGTTGCTGCCACTCGCTTCTGGAAGAAAAGACAGCAGATAGTCTCAGGCACTAGCAAAAGCCATTCCTAGGCATAGATTTTGAAATCTTTTTTGGAAATCAGTAGTGAGCATTATGAAAGTATTATAAAAGCTCCAGCGTGGGCATATTGAGGCTTTACACAACAAAGCTAACTCCCTGTTACAGGCTGAATGATGTTCCCTTCTCTCCAGATTCATATGTTGAAGTTCTAACCCACAATGTGATTGTATTTGGAGATGGGACCTTCGGAGAGGTAGTTAAGCTTAAGTGAGGTCCTATGGGTGGGCCCTAATCCAATATGGCAGGTGTCCTTATAAGAAGTGGAAGAGGCCAGGTATGGTGGCTCACGCCTGTAATCCCAGTATTTTGGGAGGCTGAGGTGAGCAGGTCACCTGAGGTCAGGAGTTCAAGAACAGCCTGGCCAATATGGTGAAACCCCGTCTCTACTAAAAATACAAAAAGTAGCCAGGCGTGGTGGTGCATCCTGTATTCCAGCTACTTGAGAGGCTGAGGCAGGAGATCACTTGAACCCGGGAGGCAGAGGTTGCAGTGAGCTGAGATTGCATCATTGCACTCCAGCCTGGGCGACATGAGCAAAACTCTGTCTCAAAAAAAAAAAAAAAGTGGAAGAGACATCAGCATCGCACATGCACAGAGAAAAGTCCACGTGAGGACACATTGAGAAGGTATCTATCTGCAACCCAAGGAGGGAGGTGTCAGAAGAAATCAAACCCTCCAACACTTTGATCTTGGACTTCCACCCTCCAGAATGATGGCTGTCAAAAAAATAAATAAATAAACATACACGCAAGCCCAGAGATCGCCAGAATATGCAACGCATAGATTGATTCATGAGCAAGGAGTGGAAAGATAAAAAGGACTTTAGCCTGAATTCTTAAAGTCCTATTGGCTTGGGGTATGGGACTGGGTTGGAGATCTAAGGCATCCAGGTTCCCGTCCATAACTGACAATTAGGAGAGGAATGACCTCTAAATCCATACTATTCAATACAACAGCCACTAGCCACTTGTGGTTGTTCAAAGTTATTAAAATTAAATTCAGTAAAAAAACTCAGCTTCTTGGTTACATTAGACACATGCCAAGGGTTCCATCAGTGCGTGTGACTAGTGGCTACCATACTGATAGCACAACTCAGACATGAGACATTTCCACCCTCAAGGGAAGTTCTATTATTAGTCAGTGCGAATGCTGAGCTAGGTAGATGGGAACGAAGAGATGGATGGGACGAACCTTCCTAGAAATTATATTGCTCTTCAGTCTGCTTCTTTGGGAATACAAAAAGAAAAAAAAAAAAGGTGGTGGGTGTGGAAACTCTCAAGGCTCCCCTGACTGTGAGTCAGTATGTCCTTCGAAGGTGCTTGTTGTCACACAGCCGGACGAGTTAAGAAACCTGCAGTTTAGCTAAAGCCATGAAATTGCTGCTGAGACTAATTTTATGCCACCCAACCCCCAAGCCGCTCCAATGTCCTGCTTAAAGTATAGTAATGGCCTCGATGCAATCTGGTACTGTGAATTATTTACAGCGAAATGGCTTTGAGCCTGCTCTTTATTTGTTTTGGAGAAGCTGATTCCTCGCCATTCTAATTTTCCTTCTGACTCAAATGACTCCCTCGGACCTGACTTTCATCTCACCTCTACACCTAGAATGGAGGTGTCCTCTTCCAAAGTGAGTGGGAAAACCCTAGTTAGCCGAATGCCGGGATTAGGTTCAAGCTCATGAAATTGCCGTTGTTATAGGTCAAAATTGTTCAAGATCAGCAATTTTCTCTGGTTCAAAGGAAATGGTGAAAATTCCTAAGAATTTAGACATCACCCTCCTCCCTTATAAACAGAGCCAGAAGTGAGGCAGGGACTGGCCCCACTTGGTACAGGAAAAGCTGCTGGGAAGGCCCAATTCAGTGCAGTTAAACTTGGCTTTTGTTTTTGAGCTCCTATCGTAAGCGAGGCACTGTCAGGGTAAGTGGAAAGAAACTCAGAGCTCTTATTTGGGGAGGGGTGAAGTTGGAAAATAAAACCAACGTGTTCACCACAGTTGCTGACATCCACTATGTGTGTTCTATGAGCTATTTCTAGGTTCTTTACATGCAATTATGTCAATTCCTCTTGACAACAGCCCTGTAAACAAGCACTGTGATTGTCCCCATGAGATAAAGGAGGAAACTGGGCACAGAGAGGTAATCTGCTGGAGGTCGCATAACAAGTGAGTCACGGACACTGGGGTTGAGTTCAGGCTCAGTGGCTCAAGTGTGCACGTCTTGAACATCCATGCCAACACCCCTGGCCGTGGTGACAGAAGAGAGTCTGAGGATGACAGGTGCAGATACAGGACTTTGCCGGGCAGGGTTGGTTTTGAGAAGGGGAGTCTTGCAGGGCATAGAGAGTGTTGCAGTGTTCTGAAGTAGCTGAGGACAAGATCAACGCCAGGAGCATGAGATGATAACCAAGGTCCCTCTACCATGAGCTGCAGAGTCTGGCTGGGAAGGACAGAGCCGGGGACAGATCAGCCTTCCAGCCTCTGTAGGAAAATGGGGAAATAACCCAGCATTTCCAGCACCCCGGGGAGGCAGGAGGGTGGGAAACGGCGAATGGCAGCCCTGTGGCCGTCAGGTTTTGTGAAAGTCACAGAGAAAGTACCGGGAGCAGGGAGGGATGGAGGATTTCGGAAAGGGAAGGTCAGACACAAATGTGCACAGGGAGGACTGCAAAGCACAGCAGCCTGGGGAAGGCTGAGAAGGAGCCTTTGGGACACAGCGAGCCAAGAGATGTCATTTTGGTTTCCTGATAGGTGACACTACAGCAAAAAACTTTTCCCTTTCTTTGTGGCCAAGGCCAACGGAGGTGGCTGCTCCTGCCCCAGCTGAGGAATTAAGTATCTGATCTCAGTCTTAGGCAAACCTAAGACCTACCCCCGCCTCCCGGCTCCTCGAGGCCCACCTCCCGGCTCCTCGAGGCCCACCTCCCACCCTCTGCCTAATCCTCCAGATGAGAAAGTGCTGTTTCCTCCTTCCTTTGTACGGGACCAAGCCTGGCCAAGGAATCCTCCCCCTCCCCTTCCTTCCCTCCCACCTCTCTTCCCTCCTTCCCTCCCCCTTCCCAGCTGGCCACAAATAAAGCTCACAACGCTACCTGCCGAGCAAGCCCAGGGGAAGGAGGCTAAGGCCAGGCCAAGGATCAGGGCGGCCCTGGTGGCAGCGGTGAGGCGCTGCATGCTGGAGGCGGTGCCGAGCGCCGGGTGCAGGTGAGCCGGTCCCGCGGAGGTGTGCGGAGTCCCGGGTGCAGGTGAGCCAAGTCCGACCTGCAGGAGCTGGAAGGCAGCTCTGCCAGAGGTGAACTTGTGCTGGGTGTTTGGGGAAAACGCGATGGGGTGGAGCAAAGGAAACTTGGCCTGTCACACCTTCTCTCACCTCTCTAGAAGGGAAGTCAAACTGTTGGCTGAGGAGGGAAGGGAGGGGCAAGCTATGCCCTTCTCCCCTGAGCACAGATTTTGTCCTTATTGAGAAAAAAGAAGAGGACAAGAGATATCTGTGCCATGCTGGTTCCTGGGGATGAGCTGGCTGCCGCTCCCATCCGCAGGTGTAGCTTGGATGCCCGATTCCATTTGGTCCACTATTCACTGAGCAGCCACTGTGGGCATTGATTGCACTCTGCTAAAGTCGGGAGATGCCTGCTCTCCAAGTGCTTTCATTACAAACACGCATGATTCAACCTCAGAGGAGGGTTTGAGGAATGGCTTGGGAATGATAAAGCACTGTGGGTTTCAACAGTGGAGGCCGCATCTGCTGATGGGACGCTTCAAGAGGAAAGTGGAATTTGAGGGTGGGCATGGTGGCTCACGCCTGTTATCCCAGCACTTTGGGAGGCTGAGGTGGGTAGATCACGTGAAGTCAGGAGTTCGAGACCAGCCTGGCCAACATGGTGAAACCCCGTCTCTAATAAAAATACAAAAATAGCCAGGTGTGGTGCATGCCTGTAGTCCCAGCTAGTCAAATCGCTGGAACCCGGAAGACAGAGTTTGCAGTAAGCCGAGATCATGCCACTGCACTCCAGCCTGGGCAACATCTGTCTCCACCAAAAAAAAAAAAAAAAAAAAAAAAGAGCATTTGACTGGGGCCTTGAAGGATGGCTAGAATTTTGACAGGGGAAGAGGGGAAGATGAGCAAAGGCCCGGAGGTAAGGAGGTGTCAGAGGTCCGCTGTGACCACAGCACCCAGAAGCTTGGGTGAGGTGGGGAGGCGAGCAGACGAGAGCCATGGGCTGAGCTTCTGCGTGCCTGGTAGAGAAGTTTGAAACAAAGTCAGGAATCAAAAGGGAAGGTTCTGTAGAGATTTTGAGCTGAGTAGTAACTTGACTAGAGCTCTGCATTCAGTCTAAAACATTTATTGAATACCCGCCATGTACATACAAGGTCTTGGCCAGGTGCGGTGGCTCACGCCTCTAATCCCAGCTCTTTGAGAGGCTGAGGTGGGCAGATCATGGTGTCAGGCGTTCAAGACCAGCCTGGCCAACATGGTGAAACTCTGTTTCTACTAAAAATACAAAAAAGATTAGCTGGGTGTGGTAGTATACACCTGTAATCCCAGCTACTCAGGCGGCTGAGGCAGGAGAATCGCTTGAACGTGGGAGACTGAGGTTGCAGTGAACCAAGATCGTGTCATTCATTGCACTCCAGCTTGGGCAACAAGAGTGAAACTCCATCTTAAAAAAAAAAAAAGTCTCATCCTGGGCATTGGAGACTGAGATGACCAAGATGCAGCTCTTCCCCTTGAGAGCACAGTTCAGCAGCGGCCAAACCTGGAAGAAAGAAATCTGATGCAGTCTGGCAAGATTCAAATAGGGGTGCCTTTCACCGCGATGGGAATAAAAAGGCAGAAGCTGTGAAATCTGCCTGAGAGGTGAAGGGGAAGGATTCCCAGAGAAAGTGACGTTCGGACTGGGTGTTGAAATTTGTATGTGCAGATTAGAGTTGATGGGCTTTTCAAGTCAAATAAATAGCACAAATAAAGGCGAGGAACTGTCTGTGTGCTCAGCCTGCCACGTGTGGATGTGTTTCTGCACATGTCTGGGTCTGGTAAGGATGAGGGGTAGACTCCAGCTCTGTGGAAAGACATGGAAGGCGAGAGTACGCCCCAAGGAAGGATTTTCTATTGGAGTGTAATAGCCCAGGGGAGGCATGTTTTTTCTAACTTGCTCAAAGATATAAAATAGTGGTGGCCTGTGTTCCCGGACTTGGGGACGGGGCCAAAGTGTTTTAGGAAGGTTTCAGGCAGAGCGTACAGGTCCAGTTTAGGCATGACCACTAGTTGAACATTAAACAGTTTCCAAGTAGCGGCTGCATGCCAGGTTCTTGGTGTGGGGACCTGGGGGTGAGAAAGACCACACAGCCCTTGTGCTCAAGGAACTCAAGGTCCCTACAGAGAGGACACTGCTTAATAGAACAAACTCTGTCCTTGATGTTTTCTTCACAAGTAAACCCTGTGGGGAGATTCACAGGGCAGGGCTGATTTATCCAGTGGGTACTGGGGATAACAGCAGTACATGGAATCTCCAAGATTTTCAAGGATCTCAAAATATTTGAGACCTGAGAAAATGTTCTGGGATCCAAAATTTGAACAACAGACCAGGCTTATTGGCATACGGCTGTCATCCCAGTATTTTGGGAGGCCGAGGTGGGAGGATCACTTGAGCCCAGGAGGTCGAGGCTGCAGTGTGCTGAGATGGCACCACTGCACTCCAGCCTGGGTGACAGAGGGAGACCCTGTCCCCAAACAAATAAAAATTTGAACAACAAAAAACTGGGCAAAATGAATAATTGTTTCAAAAGCAAAGTTATATAGTTCATTTGAAATGTTTTTGCAGAAATGATGTCATGTGGGTTGTTGGGTGCGTTTTGATGTGTTTGACACGGTCCCGCCTATGGGACCGGAACCTGGGGCATAGAGATAGGTAAGATGGCCTGTCTGGGGTTGCCGTATGGTGGATTGAACAGCATCTGCAACCTAAGCTGAGATGGTCCTATCAAGTCCTATCAGGGAAGCTTTTCTGGGAAGCAGTGAATGTGGAGGAGGGGGATAATGTGTTGTCCCTCCCTCCCTATTTTATCATTGCTATGTGATGTTATGTGACTGTTTTAGATGATCTGTTTCTAGGACAAACAGTCTCCTATCTACAGATGGAAGAACTTTGTTATTCCAAAGTAGGATAGGCTGGGGCTGTCGGTGGCTCATGCTTATCCCAGAACTTTGGGAAGCTGAGGCGGGCGGATCACTCGAGGTCGGGAGTTTGAGATCAGCCTGGTCAACATGGTGCAAACCTGTTTCTACTAAAAAGAAACACAAAAATACTAGCCAGGTGTGGTGGCTCGTGCCTGTCATCCCAGCTACTTGGGAGGCTGAGGCAGAAGAATCACTTGAGCCTGGGAGGTGGAGGTTGCAGTGAACCATGATTGCGACACTGCACTCTAGCCTGGGAAATAGAGCGAGACTTCATCTCAAAAATAAAACAAAACAAAACAAAATATGGGGGGCTGGACTGGCCGCTGATAACTGTTGACCCCAAAGAAAGGGCTGTGTGTGTGTGGCCACTTTTTACTTTCTGAGTGTCACCAGTATTCGCTGTTTTTAGCGTTTCCTCACTCATACATTTTGCATCAGGTTTACTTTGGAGGACGTACCAGGAAGTTGCCTTCCTCAAAGCTAGACTTTCTCAAGACTTTTTTTGTTTTTAATGGTTGAGATGGGTATTTGATTACACATACTCTCCGAAAAGTTCAGGCTGAAATGTCTGTGGCCAGGCTACGGCGGTGGTTGGAGAGGGGGTGGCCAAGAGAGCGGGATTCCAGGGTTCTCACTGGTTCCAGTTTCACCTGTTATCCCAAATTTCATGTGAAAGAGAAAAGAAGTGGGCAGAGAGTTTCCAGTGTTAAAAGATGGAAAACCTGCAGTCTGGGGGCTGGAATGGCCCCTGCCTTTGGGAAGAATATTATACTGTAAAGAAGCTTCTCTTATGATTCTGATAGGCCCCTTTGCCCCCTGTCCATCTCGGAAAAAGACCTCTGGCCTCGAACTTGGGTCTTTCATCTCCAATTAACCCAAAATCCATTCAGAGGAGAATTGTGGCCCTAACCGAGCCTGTGCCTGCCAAGCTGCAGCTGCCTCGTAGAGATGGAGTTGATGGCTCTTCTTGCTCCTGGCTCTGTCAGGATTCATTTCTACAAAATAATATCAGGCTCTGGGTGCTTGTGGCACCAAAACATCTAGACATGGACCTGAGCTGCACTTAGTTTGTGGAGGAGTTAACCTCACTCCTTGCCCCTCCGCGATGGGTCTGTAACTTGGCAAGAAGGAGAAGTTTCCTTTTAGGAAAACGTGAGAACTACAGCTGTTAAGATCCTGCCATACAGTTGATGAAAGTAACAGAGTCAGCAAGGAAGGCCTGGAGTCCACCAGTTGGAATCATTTCTGGACACTTCCCAGGATGATTAATTCAGCTTGTTCAAAATTGCACCGGGAGGAGGTACAACTATGGCCCAGACAATCGGAGGTTAACGAAAGGGGGTTCTTCCTCTTGGCAAAAGCAACCTTCCACCCGGGTCCTGTATCCTATCCCTTCCATCTTCTCTGAAGTATATTTCTTAATTTCCAAACATATGGAGGTTTTCTCGTATCTTTTTTTTTTGTTATTGATTTTTAGCTTAATTGTTAGCTTAATTGTGATCTGTGAATATACTTGGATGCTTTCTATTTTTTGATATTCTTTAAAAGACACCATTGGACCAATTTTTGTGGTTCTTGAATGTGCCATGCAGTTGTGGGCTCAGTGTTCTAGGCAACTCCATTAGATCAAGGGTACTAATGGTGTGGTTCAGCACGTCTACACTTTTTCCTGTCTTTTAAAAATGTGGTCTGATTATTCTGTTGAATACTGAGGTGATTGTGGGTTTCTTTCTTCCCTGTAGTTTTGTCAGCTTTTGCATTAAATATTTGAGGTTGTAATTGAGGTACAAACAAATACAGAATTTTGACACCTTCCGGCAAATTGAACCTTATTTAAAAAATCATTTTGTAATATCCCTCATCTCTTTATTTTGAGATGGAGTCTCACTCTGTCACCAGCTGGAGTGCAGTGGCGCGATCTCGGCTCACTGCAACCTCTGCCTCCCAGGTTCAAGTGATTCTCCCATCTCAGCCTCCCAAATAGCTGGGATTACAGGCACGAGCCACCACACCCGGCTAATTTTTGTATTTCACCATGTTGGTCAGGGTGATCTTGAACTCCTAACCTCAGGTGATTCACCCTGTCTCGCTCTCCCAAAGTGCTGGGATTATAGGTATGATCCACCTGCCCAGAACGTTCTTTATCTCTAGTAATGCTTTTTGCCAT